TTTAAAGATGTTTGCTATATCTCGGGGTTCGTGCGAGCCAGCAACGCTTACAGGACGGCTATTTGATATTGGGTTTAATTTATTTGTTGTTTTCCAGAATTTACTAAAATTTTTACCAGCGTGATGACGCGCTATTATATCTAATTTTATTTGATTTTGATTATCCTGACATAACTTTAATTTCGATTTAAAATTTAAATTTACATATTATTTCAACAAAGTTTAAATAATATGTAAACCTAACGTAATCATGGTATAATTTATAATTAATTCATTGATATAATATTTAACAAGATTTACGTTAAAACTTCATCACAAATGGCCTTATAATATTGGTTCCGTATTTAATGCTGTAAGTATTCATTCATATATATATTTATTTTCTTTTTCTTGGGATTTATTTACATAACAATTTACTCAATTCTAAAATGTTATAAAAATTTGTTAAAATTAAGAACATATTTTTGATTATATTCTTTTTCATCTTAAAGAGAGATCTGTTTAAATATTGAAAGCAATACATTCAATGAAATTGTCACTTTCTATATGATGAATATTGCCACTTAATATTACTAATTAATTGAAAATTTTAAAATCACCAAAATGTTGTCTAGGTTCTATTAATTATATATATTATTAAAAACGAATTGGAAAAAAATTTAGTTAAAATTTATAATGGGAAACAAAATTTCACGAAACCTTCCTTGTGAAATAGATTTCTAAAAATGTTGTAACTAAAACTGATATGGCTGAGAAATGTTCAGAAAAGCCAGATGTCCTCTTGAAAATGCTCGAGTTACTTAAAATACGATCCGAGAATGCAATTTAATAAGAGGATTTGGGAAATAGCATTATTACTCCACAAACAATATGGATGAACTAATAAGTTTTTTATATGTATTATAAAAATATTTAAATTCATCAAAAAGGGAAATTTAAAGGATTGTTTGCAAATAATCTAATTATAGAATAGGAATCTTACATACGTTTCAAGGTTATATTATTGTTAAATAAATTACAACCTATTGTAACAACAGTCTTAAATGTATCATTCCTAGTGTTTATTACTTAAAATGTGGATAATAATATAAACTATTGTTCACCAAGAACATAAAGTTTTGTTAAAATTTCCTTATTAGTATGACATTGTTACAAAAAACAAAAATGTGTACATGTAAGAAGACAAACTAATAAAAATAAATTGAAATATTGAAATAATAATCCTTTACTGTTAAGACATTCTAGCTGTGAAAGCATGAACTGTTTATTTATGTATGTAATAAAAATGTGATTGAAATGAAGCGAAGACGATTGAAGTGATGACTTCAAAAGTAACAATATAGAAAAGATTTAGAGCTTTGAATCAATTAAAGCCTCTGATAACATGTGAAAGATGCGAATACTAGAATACAATTTCCCCTACAGCTTCACACTTCCATTATATTAATAATCATACATAAAAACAATGCCTTATTTATAGCAGTCATTCGTTTATATTTCTGTAGCAATAAAATGCTTTTGTATAAAAATGACATAAATTATTTAAAGTTGCTGTAATATCATTCATAAAAACAAATTGTGTGAAAACAGCGTCAACACGATAGCCACTATTTTAGTATGAAAGTAATAAAAATACTACTTTATATTGAAGATTAATGAACTAACGAGGCTTTTTGACTTAATGCCTTCATTCACACGCAGTGTGTCAGAAAAAATAACACCTTTTTTTAAAATATTTAAACGCGATCCGCATTAAGTTATATCGCGTGATATGAAATATATTTTTAACATTATGTAACTACATATAGCTATTAAGTTTACTTTTCAGTCATTTTTATTTATATACGGAATATTATCTTAATTTGACACACGCTTGTATACACACAATATACATGTCATACGATATTTCCATTAAAATGGGTAATAATATAATTTATAAGGTTTCTTTTATTAAACTCAATGATCTAGAACTACAAATAACATTTAAGTTTTCAGTATTTTCTGTTGGGACAAAACCACGCCCTCTAAATTAAATGATGTTTGTAAGAATCTAGGAATGTGAGATTCTTAAAATCAATATCAAGTTTATCCTTTAAAAGACATATAAGTATTCCTACATATATTTGAAAATGGCGAGAATAAGATCGATACTAATATTCTAAATGGAAACGAAATTCTGTCTATTTGTTTGTTACATTTTCATTGAACTAAATTCATTGAATCCTTTTAATTATATTCTAATTGAAGTTAAATAGGAAGGGTAGGGCTCTTGTATGCGATAATTCAAATTGTCGAGGGCGGAGTCGTGTTATGTGAAGTTAAACAAATCTTATATGGTGTATTAAGTAGATCTGAAAGCATAAAAATAAATTTATTCTTGCTTATTATTTTAAGAAAATAATGAGATAATCAATTATCTTTTTATTCGGATATAGATATAAGAAAATATAAAGACTAAATATGTAAAATGTTTTTATAAAATTAAAGATAAACATATTTCGTAAATGAATATAGTGCACTTTGTAAAATATTTTCCCGGTGTTTATTTTTCTAGCAAAGCACTTATGTCGTCGTTTACTTTATAATAGAAGACATAGGATGTAACAGAAATATGCGAAGTTCCTTTGAGAAAACCACACATCCCTTACTATTCCAAAATTAGACTCCTTTGGTTTGCAGCTCATGTTTACGATAAAACGTCGTGGAAATTGAGTCAAGTATACCAAGTTCCCGAAAGTGTATATAAATAGTTCTCTTAACAGAAATACCGACCAATCCATAAACCTTCAGACTATAAGCAGATAAAAAGTGGTCATTATTAATTTAATTGATTTTCTTGATAATATAGAGAATGTAGTCCAAAAATATTTGCTACGATTTTGAAAGTCATTTGATATTAAAATCTGAACGTCAAAGGAGTTTTAAATGCAAGCCTAACCCATCATATGATACATATAAATTCCACAAGATTTCTTCAAATTATTTAAAATATCTTTAACAGCTATTTTATCAAGACGGGAGACTGGACGTATTTATAAATTTGAAAATATATGTTTATTTATAATGTGCAGCTATCTGTATTAAGGCTACAGGCTGCATAAAGGCTATAGTAGTAGGTCTAGTTATATATTTATATTTACAATGTTGCTATTCTTACAATTCTTTAGTAGGAATGAACATACAAATTAAGTTTCATCTTTTAATCCTATTATAGTGTTATCCGACCGCAATCCCATATTTTGTAATTAGCTATGCAAACAGAAAAATTAGCATAGCTTAATTTCTTACACCGCTCTGCATTTATTTCAAGTCAGCTAGATACAAAAAAATTATATGTTTTAATCCTTCTTAAAAATGCTTTATAGCAATAATTAGGTAAAAAAATAATTCAATGCTTTTAATTCTGTTAAATTTAGTTGGAAATATAATTAAAAGCGCAGAACGATTGACGAATAATAAATTAATTTGATATTTAAAAATAATGGTTTACAAATATTATAATATAATTTACAATACACAAATATTTATGATAGCTTTGTTGGAATATGATTATTTCAAAATGCTATTCATTTTAATCTTCAAATAATAATGAGATAATGTGAATAGTTATTCTATTTGTAATTTAAACTTATTTTGCAGTGTACAAACACAATAAACAGAACATTGTAAATGAAATTTATTAAAACAATGCTTTTTCCAAGATTTTGTGCTTGTGGATTTGCCTCGCAGAATCGTGAAATATTGGTTTTCATGGAAATAATAAGTTTTTGAAAAAAGCGTTATAGTAATCGCAATCAAAACCAAATGTCATAAAATTAATATTGTACTTACGCGAGAGGAATACTGAGGGATGTTCAACCGCGTGTACACAGGGCTCTGAAAATCAAAAGCTCCATAAACATACTTGATATTCTCAATATACTCAATACATTTGACAATACGTCTTATATAACCACGTAGGTTATTTCTACGAACCACAAATCTTAACGAACAGACGGATAATATTATTGAGCTCTGACTACCTAACCTATAACATTTTCACAAGAGTTAAAGCAAATTCTATTCGTACATCTAAATTTTAACATATAGAACATTAGATACTGTAAAATTTAGGTGACTAGGGATTGTTTTTGGAATTAACAGGTTGATTTTCTCTATGACTACGAAATTGAAATTACAATGTTGCGAACTATGTTTAAAACATGAGGGTTTTTTATAGTAAGCATTTAAGCATTTTTTAAACTAAACAATGTAAAAAGGAGCATAATTATTAATTTTAAAATTATATGAGTAAAGAATAAATTATTATATTTAGTCGATCAAAACAAATAAATTTTTTGGTAACTAGGAATATAAGAATAACAAGTTATTTTTGGATCGTTCTGTGTGTAGTAGATAAGATAAAATATATCTATACTGAACTAAAGTGATTCCTTTTTTCCTTTCTTCAATTATTTTCGGTAACAGGTTTTTTAGAATGACTTACTAATATAATGTTATAAGTTTATAAGTATTTTAAGGTTCAAAATATAAATATTAAGCCCTTTACAAACCAATTTTGATGTACATATGTTGAAAACTAAACAATTAATTTTAAGATTAAATTTCCTTTGTTATGATATATAAGAAGAAAGTCAAATGATATATCTTAACTAAATTCTAGTTCAATAAACAAATAACAATCTGTTTCTAATAGATTATATAAACATAATTATGTAAATAGGTCATGTTTACAACTAGAATAAATATAAACAGGATTTCATTCAAACAGTTTTGAATTTCAAATAAAATAAATAAAAAAATATTATAGAAAAATATATAATAATGTGTGTATAAAATATTCATGTAATATCTGTTTTTATATAATAATAAAAACTTCATTTGTCATCCTCTCAAATTAATTCAGTTAAATTCGATTTGCCATTAAAAATAATGCTAAAATAAGTCTAAAAAGGCCATCGGAGCTCTATAAACACCTAAGAGTTTCCAAGAGATATATCCTGGGGAAATCCCATGATGACATAGTGAGATCGCTCCCAAAAGATGAAGATGCCCCCGAGCTAGAGTCACGACTTCAATTCCATAAGCAATTTATGATAGGAGCGCAAAGTAACAGAGCGGGGTTAGGATCAAATAGGAAAGTCCAAGATGCGGATATATTGAAGTCTTTTATTCGACAAGACGAGAATGATAAATATAAGATCCATGCAATGAATTTAGAAATGCAGAACGAGTGGTTAGACATAGGAGATTTTTGCATCCCATTAGGATTAAAATGGCGCACTTTAATTTATGATTGGTCGCCAGCATTGCTAAAATTCTATCTCAATGCGTTCCAGATGACTCTCCCAGATCAGAGTAATTTAGTAAGATGGGGTAAAAGTACCGAAAAAACTTGCTATATCTGTGGAAAGGCAGTTGGAACTGCTAAGCATCTGCTGGTGGGATGTAAGGTACTCCTGGACAGCGGTCAATACTCGCGTCGTCACGATAGGGTTCTAGAAGTCATACGTGAAGCGGTTAGTCTTTCGGTAGCCAGAGCGCAAAAGGGAATAACCACAAACGAACGATCAGTAGGTTTTGTGAGAGAAGGCTCTAGGGCTACAAAATCAAACGTCAAGCCTTACTCCATCCTTAAAGCGGCGTCGGATTGGACTATAATGATGGACACGTATGAAAAACAATATAAAATCCCCGAGGATATTTGTGCGTCGGCCTCCAGACCGGATATATTTTTGTTTTCGCGAATTTTAAAGCGCGTAGTGATGATAGAGCTTACGGTCCCTTGGGAAACCAACATCCCCAAAGACCATACCATCAAGGTCAACAAATATTACGAGCTCACAAACGAACTCACTCGAAATAGGTTCGTAGTAGATTTGTACGCGGTAGAGGTGGGAGCGAGAGGTATAACAGCGAAATCTCTCTATAACCTACTAAAGGACTTGGGCTTGTCCAGAACTCACATTAATGCATTCTTGGAACGTACATCGAAGGCAGCCCTAGTAGGTTCTTTTCAAATTTGGTTAGGTAGGGAGAGGAGCTTGGACAGTGGAGGTGAGCGTATAACGCGCGTTAGTTAAGGGGCCCCTTAAACCTACACTTGGGTCGCAAGTCCCAGGCACTGTTGAAGCTCCTCCCCCTGCAACGCGATGGACCCGGCACCCGCACGGTGAATCCATGGAATGCTGAGAAGTTTCGTCTTATTTAAATCGACTGCCCGGAGAGACGGGCTGACGCTGGAAAGACAGCTGACTGCCGGAAAGACGGATGACTGCCGGAAAGACGGATGACTGCTGGAAAGACAGCCGAGGGCGACGGCCTAGCAAGCCCAACCCGGTATACATAAAGCTAAAAGTCCGAAGAAGAAAAATACCCCTGGGACAGTCCGAGAGGGGGGGCGGAAGAACTGTCCACCGGTCGATTTTAACGGCGAAAACGGCGCGAATACGGACTTGAAATGCTCTACGTGCGGGAAAAACTACAAGAGACGAGCCTGGTACATTAAACATCTAAAAACACATAATGGGGTTGAAGCACGACAATCGTCGGTAAGATCTACAACATTCACTTCGGATAGAGTTGACCCTCATGTATCCCATGGTGAACCATTAACTGGAAACCACCAGGAGTCCATTAACATCAGGACACGTCTTAGCATTCCTAATCTAAAACAATCGACTTGGAAAGTGCATGACGACAACTTAGCGGTCCTGTTAGAGCATCCGGGCTCGAAGCAGGAATTGAACTCGCAGGTAGAAACTTTCCAAAATACCGTTTATGACTACTTTAGCGAGCAATATCCACCACGTAATCGTTATGCTCGCAAAAATAATGACAATTCGTTCAAATTAAAAATGCGGAAGAAAAAACGGGAATTAATAAAAAATCTACGTATAGCCAAAGCTCTAGGCGACAATCACCTTAGTCATCAACTAGCTAGGGCGTTAAGGTCAATCCTTAAATTAATCCAGGGAATATCGGCGCAAACTGCAGAATATCGCGATAATTTTGACCGGGCAAAACAAGAAGTAGATTTCGATAAAAACCCTTTTGAGTATTCGAAAACCATTTTTAAGAAAGAACGCGGACAGCTTCTCTTGACCAACGATCAAATTTACGACCATTTTAAGAGCACATACGAAGTGCCTAAAAGTTTAAGACGGTATAGGGATCCAAACGATCAAAAACCTGAATTTCCTCGAATCGAATTCCACGGCATTCCACCAACGCTAGAGGAACTAAGTAGTCAGATCAAGAGGAAGTCGTCTAAATCTGCACCGGGACCCGATGGTATCCCATATATAGTCTTTAAAAAATGTGCATCGGTTCGTAAACACCTCCTAAATATATACGGTAAAATCTGGTCAAGGAAGCAAATCCCGGAGTGCTTCGGGAAAGCAATTTTTGTCCTCATTCCCAAAAAAGATCGAGTTACTGATCCGAAAGATACTAGACCGATAGCTTTAACAAATACTATATCGAAAATCTTTTTCTCGGTTCTACAAACGAGAATGACGCGATTCATGCTCAGCAACAACTATTTTAGGCCAAATCACCAGAAAGGGTTTTTACCCGGGATTTCTGGATGCTTAGAACACAACACCTTGCTGTCGGAGAGTTTAAAAGATGCTAGAAAAAGCGAGCGGCAAATCACTGTTTGTTGGATAGACTTGGAGAACGCGTTCGGGTCGATACAACACGAATTGATGCTATTCGCGCTTAGATGGTACAACTTTCCACCCCTAGTTAGAGATATGATCGCGTCGTATTACTCAAAATTAAGGTTTTCTATAATAACTAAAGAAGGCCCTTCAAAAAGTTTGAGTTATAATGTAGGACTGTTTCAAGGTTGTTGTCTATCTCCAATTGCGTTTAATATCGTAATTAACATCTTAGTAGACAAATTAATCTGTAACGAGAAAAAATGGGGTTATCGGTTTAAGTTTAATAATAAATACACGGAATCCATTTTAGCCTTCGCTGACGATCTCGCAATACTGACACGTAACCCCAAACACTGTCAGGTACTATTGGATGAAGTGGATAAATTCTGTGAGTGGACGGATGGATTGAGGACAAAACCCAGTAAATGTCACTGTCTGTGTCTTGGTAGGCGGAATACAAGATACACCTCATACGATCCGGGACTATCGTTAGGCGGTCAATGCATTTCTACGGTTACGGAAAATGCACCATTTAAATTTCTCGGTCGTAAGATAGATAATATAGGCCGTACTCCATCTTTAGAAGGAATAGTAGATAGCTTTTTGAACGATCTTAACAAGGTAGATAGCCAACTGATAAGTAACGTCAAAAAAGCGTGGATCTACGAGAATTACTTAACTTCACGTTTGAATTGGCCTTTCCTCGTCTATGATTTTAATAAAACCCTTTTGTCAAAGTTAGATGCAGGCGTCATAAAGATGTTGAAGTTGTGGCTTGGGCTCGCTCTAACGGCTGATTCATCGGCGTTATTTAGGGGAAGCAATAGTTTTGGGATGAGTCTAAAAAGGCCATCGGAGCTCTATAAACACCTAAGAGTTTCCAAGAGATATATCCTGGGGAAATCCCATGATGACATAGTGAGATCGCTCCCAAAAGATGAAGATGCCCCCGAGCTAGAGTCACGACTTCAATTCCATAAGCAATTTATGATAGGAGCGCAAAGTAACAGAGCGGGGTTAGGATCAAATAGGAAAGTCCAAGATGCGGATATATTGAAGTCTTTTATTCGACAAGACGAGAATGATAAATATAAGATCCATGCAATGAATTTAGAAATGCAGAACGAGTGGTTAGACATAGGAGATTTTTGCATCCCATTAGGATTAAAATGGCGCACTTTAATTTATGATTGGTCGCCAGCATTGCTAAAATTCTATCTCAATGCGTTCCAGATGACTCTCCCAGATCAGAGTAATTTAGTAAGATGGGGTAAAAGTACCGAAAAAACTTGCTATATCTGTGGAAAGGCAGTTGGAACTGCTAAGCATCTGCTGGTGGGATGTAAGGTACTCCTGGACAGCGGTCAATACTCGCGTCGTCACGATAGGGTTCTAGAAGTCATACGTGAAGCGGTTAGTCTTTCGGTAGCCAGAGCGCAAAAGGGAATAACCACAAACGAACGATCAGTAGGTTTTTGTGAGAGAAGGCTCTAGGGCTACAAAATCAAACGTCAAGCCTTACTCCATCCTTAAAGCGGCGTCGGATTGGACTATAATGATGGACACGTATGAAAAACAATATAAAATCCCCGAGGATATTTGTGCGTCGGCCTCCAGACCGGATATATTTTTGTTTTCGCGAATTTTAAAGCGCGTAGTGATGATAGAGCTTACGGTCCCTTGGGAAACCAACATCCCCAAAGACCATACCATCAAGGTCAACAAATATTACGAGCTCACAAACGAACTCACTCGAAATAGGTTCGTAGTAGATTTGTACGCGGTAGAGGTGGGAGCGAGAGGTATAACAGCGAAATCTCTCTATAACCTACTAAAGGACTTGGGCTTGTCCAGAACTCACATTAATGCATTCTTGGAACGTACATCGAAGGCAGCCCTAGTAGGTTCTTTTCAAATTTGGTTAGGTAGGGAGAGGAGCTTGGACAGTGGAGGTGAGCGTATAACGCGCGTTAGTTAAGGGGCCCCTTAAACCTACACTTGGGTCGCAAGTCCCAGGCACTGTTGAAGCTCCTCCCCCTGCAACGCGATGGACCCGGCACCCGCACGGTGAATCCATGGAATGCTGAGAAGTTTCGTCTACCTTTTAAAACTATAGGATAACTCTGAAAAATTATAGTTGTTCACAATTTTAGGAAAGTAGCGATAGAAAATATTGATTCTGTTATGTCGTGTGTATGTAATTTATACGCAGTATGAAAATAATGCAATAAAAATCTGTCAAATTTATATATTATGTTATTTGAGTCTTCTTTTTTACGAAATAAATTGATTATTTACAACTATTTTACATTTAAGACAAATAAATTGAATAAGAAATAAAACATTTTGTTTCATAAATAAATTCTGAAGTTTAACTAATGAATTTATAACCGAAAATTGCACATGTAACTGGAAGTAGGAATTCACTTTTAGATTTAAATTTTCTCCCATCATTAATTCAAAGTCATGACATTGTCTTTCAAAAACTCTTTCATGATTCGGCTCTCCTGTTACTATACATGTATGCTATATGTTACTGTGTCTTAGCGTATGCAATGCGTCCTTAAGTGTTAGAGCAAAAACTAAACCGACACAACTTACCTTTACATAAAGAAAATGAAGTTTTACACTTCGTCTGACCTATTTTTAGAGGATTTTATTTCTTTCTGGTAAAGTTTTTTAAATTCTTGTTGGAATTGAAATGATTTTGTTGACTATTTATTCTATGTTTATATTCCCTTTACATTCTTCAATTAAATGTAGTATTGTATCGTCTTGTCATTGGTCTTCAAAATTTATATTATTATTTATATTGTTATTTAGATACTTACATAATTGGTATACTTATTAAATAATCAATCGGAAATCCACAACATATAGAGTCAAGATTGCAGCAGAATGTCATCACAATTCGACCAAGGAGAAATACGAACAAAATTAATTAAATTCATTAGAATCACTCTTGTGTTACTAAGTTCCTTAGTCTCAACATCCCTTATTCCTTGACATTTACATATATCAAGTAAATTTAACATAAGTAATTCTCATAAATAACATAATAAATAAAAATATTTTATACTTTGTTATTACGATACTATTGTATTGCAAATTTCTGAAAAAATCCGTAATGACGAATAGTGTTATTTGTATTACAAATAAAAAAGCATACAATTTTTTTCTTAATTTATTTGTTCTTTAATGAAATTTCTAATTAATATCCAATGAACATGTTCTATTGACTATTATACTGACTTCGTGAATTAATATCTAGCTGTGTGAATAAAAGGTAAGATGGTATCCTAATGACAAGATAATCTTGGGATATAAGTATTAAAAATATATTTTCTATTATATATATCTAATTGTTTTTAGTTTCGCTAGAAACTCTAGTTGTGAAATGAACTTTATATAACTATATTATTTATTATATATTGAATTTATTTAAAAAGTAATAAGAATGAAAATATATGTGAATAAAAATTAACACCTTGAATACCTTCTAAAAGTTGTCATTTTAAATTTGTGAATAAAACAATTCGGCATTCATTGTAGAACAGATAGAATATTTTTTAATAATGCTTGTTTTGTGTTTAAGATAAATAATGCAATATACCAATATTGCTAGGTAGAGAAGCTTCTTTACCTTTATCCATTTAATGGTCAAAGTTTTTAATTTTGTATAGTAGAAATTAGTTTTCATGCTGGAGTAGGTAAGTTGCAACTTAAACTGCTTCGCTGAGTAAGTTAATACTAATTACAGAGGAAGTTTCCTAATTAACCTATTAATAACGGACATCGGAAGTTGTTTGAGCTCATTATGAATATTTTTATTTAATTTACTGTGAGGTGAGAAAGTCTTACAAGTCTTTATATTAATATATATGTAGATATAGAAAATATAATAATATGTAAAGTTGAATGTGTGTGATGAATCAGAAAATGAATGTTGTGTAACTCGTTTTTGTTGCACTGTAAATAATTTTTAAGATCATAAAATATAATTAAATGATGATTGGTTTAATTTTTCAACAACAGACGGAAAAAGCTGTGTTTTAAGGTGGATGTCGAAGTCTCTGTGTATCTGTTTGTGGTATCCAAGCTCTCAAATAAATAAAAAACGGATAAAAAATGTTGATACGATTTTCTTCATTGAAAGTCAGTTTCCATGCAATAGTTCTGAGGTACTTTGATAATATCGATCGAGCGATGTAAGAGTATCAGTTTTTTTTTACTAAATATAGTAAGAAGTGTATGTTTTAATAAAAAATATATGTTACTAAGTATGTAATAATCCTTTTTTATATTTTTATTATATTGTATTTGTGTCATGAATACGATTATGAATCTAGAGATTTGTGGATATTTTTTATTATTTAAACATACTAAATAAAATAACAATCAAAAACTTAAATAATAGTCAATAATTTCTATATATTAATCCTTCTATTGTCAGTGTCAATGATTTTGTTATTGTTATGATTTTGTTGTTGTTATTAAATAATTTAATTAACCTTTCTAATGTCTTTTACTTAATTACGGTGTTAATTAATGTTATAACAACGGTAGTTTAATGCTAACAACTTAATTAATATTACAAGCTATTGGTATATTCTAAAAATATCTGAATTTACAGTTGATGATTCCTTTGCTTTTTATTCAAGGAAATGATAAGAGCTAAATTTATTTAGTTGTGTATGATATTAATTATAAAATAATTTTGATTTTATTATTATCCTATTAATAAAATAAGACACCTAAAGTATTTGTTTTCATAAGTATTATTGATATAATATTAAATTACTGGATAAAGATTTTATCGTAAATCATAGATCTTTCACATTTTTCCACGGCAACTGCAACTTAATTATTTGGTTAATTTATGAATGAATTCAAATTAACTTTAAATAGCCAAAATAACCTTTTTGTATGTCGTTATAAAAATTTTTTTAGTTGAGTTTTGTTATTTTGCTTGGTTAAATACGCTTATCTTTGAAATGGCTCCAACACTGGAAGAAGCATAAATGGAACAAAATATTTAAATTCTGATCGGGTTAGAGAGCTCATTAATAATAAAAAGGCTATTTATGTATATTACAGTCCAAATACGAATTTGCAGTGATTCCAGTAATTTTTTAGGTGGTAGAGCCTAGCTGTGGTTAGTTACTACAGCTCGAACACGGGCTGGCTCGACCGGGGAAGTACCACCCTCTCACAGAAGATCGGCGTGAAGTAGCCTTTAATGGCTGCGTTTCGTCCGATGAGTGAGAGAGCCGGTTGCCCTTTCCCTATTCCCACCCTTTCCTACAATATCCTTATTCCCACCCCTCCCTATCCCTATAAAACAAGGTGGGCAACGCATCCGCAACATCTTTGTTGCGGATGTCAATGGGCGACGGTAACCACCTTATATCAAGTGGGCTGTCTGCTCGTTTGCCACCTTTGACATAAAAAAAAAAAAAAAAAAAAGTAACTCTGTGCAATCCATAAGTGTAATTCTATAAGTAGCCTCTGTCAAGGCATAACACTTCACTCCCGGTCTTCGCTTAACGACTTTTGTCAAGAGCAAGACGGTGTTGTGAGTGATGACAAAACAAAGTGGCGTTTAGGATTGCGACGGTATCCTTTTGTAATCCAGTCATGCTCAAGAATGTGGTTTCCGAGTTGAACTTGCTTCAGCAGCTCATAAACTGCAACCCAGAGATAATTGACAGCTGTGTCGAAGATTTTTAGACCACGGTGTGAAAATTTATGGAATTTCGTAAGTGTCAGATTTCGCTCTTTATAGGAGAAAAGAGTCGCATCTGCTTTTCCATCGGAGGATGTTTCTAATTACCTCCTTCATACATTTCAAGAAATCCCAGCATATCCTTCTAGCCACAAGATAGCCACTGTGGGGTTTAAGTAGGTAAGCCTGTCTGTATATAACATAAGTTTTATATAATCCCACATTATATGGAAATGTTCTATAGAGAAATACCGGCTCAAGAGCTATGGCATTCCTATATATTTTGAAGTTAAGTAGCACTTCATCAAAAATAAATAAACGCTAAATTAGTTTATAATGTACATATTATGAAAGTATACATTTTTCATGTAATAGGTGTTATATTTTTAAATCTTGTTTATTTTATTTTATACCGTCCTTTCACGTAATGACCTGTCAAAAGTAACACCTTAAAATTTTAAAACGGCCCTTACAAAGAATTATCTCACGTGATCAAACTTAAAATTTTTATTTTATTAGCAAATTTGTTTGAATATAACATGCTTATAGGCTTTTTAGATTAACACATTGCTTGTTTTATTTCCTTATAAAAAAGTATTTTGGATAAACTTATATACAAACAAGAATAAAGTACCTTTCCATTCATGTTAAATGATTTTATGTATTTGAAAACGTATAGCGTTTGATATTTCTGAAATACCTTTGACTCTGAATATTAACCTAGAGTTATTTGGTATCAAAGCACTGTGTAAACCAGTTCCCAATCATCGGTACATGACAGGAGGAATTCAATGATAAATGCAAAATGATACCTAATATACTATTCCACCAACAGCCTTATACTATTTTTTATTGTTAATATAAATAAATCGTCATTTGAGGAAGATAGCTGTGTTTTCATTAATTCACATCTTGTATTAATTTTGGGATATCTTATATTTACTTAACATTGAAGCACACGTCTTGTTTGACTTGACGACTTGATCTTTTTTTGACAATTGTCAAGTGAATAAAAATTTTAAATTCAAAGTCAAAATATTGTACATTAAAATGTGAAAACAAAATACAGTTTCACGTTTGAATCCCATTATTTACTTTTTGATTTAAATTAATGTTCAACTGTGTAATAACTTGTCGAAATCCTTTTTTTGCTATTGAACATTCGAGTCAAAATATGTTTTTTATGTTCTCAATTGGTTTTTAGGTTCTCCTACCATGTCTTGTGCAATATATTTCCTTACTTTGAAATTTCAACAATGACTACTCTACCTATAATGTAGAAGACAAATTCTTTGTATCTGTAAAAAATCAGAATTATGAACTTCTTAAACATTTTTTTCTAAACTTGCGAGAAATATAAAAGATATCGTTAATTTTTTACAATAAAACGGCGGCGGCTGACAGTCAGACAAATTGAAGCATTCATTCATCTCTCCGACACAATTGATGCGGTGTTACACAACGAGACTGAGTTGCTGGATTACAGTCTCATATTCTCAATGAGACAGTAAAAATGTTCCCATACAAAATATATTACTTTCACCTTTCTAAATAATAACGAAGTTTTTACTTAAGTCTGGGCGTTATTTTGATATTTTTATTAAAAAGTAAAGAAGTCCTTAGAAGAAGTAACTTGAAAATATTTTAAGTATAA